TTACTAAACAATCATCGCAGCTAACAATTCTATAATTTATCAGGTGCAGTTGATCTGGGAAAGCACAAAGCTTTCCCAGACATTTTTAGATTCTATCTTTAACTTTTTCCAGGGTTCCACTATCATGTGCTCCAGAACAATTGAGCAGGAATTTCCTCATGGAGTGTCAGCGTTCAGAAACACAAAATCACAGGGATTACATGTGGGGCTTTTTATTAAAAAAATACCTCTGGGAATCGGGGTAAATTCAACCCAAATCTGACTCCGACCATACATCCCAAATGATCATGGTTTATACTCTGTCATTACATAATTTCATGTTAATTATTAAACTTCTATTGTTCTGTTGTATACATAAATTTAGCCCCTCTCTGAATTTCTCACTATTCTTCTTATGGTTATATAATAATTACGTTTAATTACTAAGCAATCATCGCAGCTAACAATTCTATAATTGATCAGGTGCGGTTGATCTGGGAAAGCACAAAGCCTGACATTTTTAGATTCTACCTTTAACTTTTTCCAGGGTTCCACTATCATGAGGACACCGGCTCTAGGACAATTGAGGAGGAATTTCCTCATGGAGTGTCAGCGTTCAAAAAAACACAAAATCACAGGGATTAAATGCAGTGTTTTTTATTAAAAAAATACCTCTGGGAATTGGGGTAAATTCAACCCAAATCTGACTCCGACCATACATCCGAAATTATCATGTTTTATACCCTATCATTACATAATTTCATATTAATTATCAAACTTCTATTGTTTTATTGTGTACATAAATTTAGCCCCTCTCTGAATTTCCAACATGGTTTCTCACTGTTCTTATGGTTCTTTAATAATTACATTTAATTACTAAACAATCATCACATCTAACAATTCTATAATTGATCAGGTGCAGTTGATCTGGGAAAGCACAAAGCTTTCCCAGACATTTTTAGATTCTATCTTTCACTTTTTCCAGGGTTCCACTCTCAAGTGGGACAAATTCCTCACGGGATTGGGGGCGGGACACAGGGAATGGAATATCCGGAATATCCCGTGGGATATTGGGGATAATTCATTCCTGGAAAGGAAAATAAAGGCATTGGTGGAGTTCCCATCCTTGGAGTTGTTCAACACGAGGAGGTGGCACTTGGGGACATTGGGGAAATGATTTTACAGAGATTTTCCAACCTCATTTTAGTCAGAAAAATCACTTTGCTGGTCATTTTCCTTAATTTTTAGTTTCTCATTTATTTTTTCAGCATCACCAGCACATCCACCTTTGTCTTGGTTTGAAAATGGAGCCACTGTTTTCTGTGCTTTATTTTCAAGGAGAAAAAAACTGAGCTTCAAATTTAACAAACACTCGGTTTCAATAGTAAAACCACTGTTTTCCCTGCTCTATTTTCAAGGAGAAAAACCTGAGCTCCTTGTTCAACAAACACCCAAGAAAAAAAAAAACCCAGTGTTTTTTTCTGCTTTATTTGCAATGAGAAAAAAAATTCAGGTCCAAATTTACCACACACTCCATTTCAATAATAAAAACACTCCTTTCTATGCTTTATTTTCAAGGAGAAAAAACTCAGCTTCAAATTTAACACACACTCAGTTTCAATAATAGAAACACTGTTTTCTCTGCTTTATTTTCAAGGAGAAAAAACTCAGCTTCGAGTTCAACAAATGCTCGGTTTCAAGAAAAAATAATGTGTTTTTTCTGCTTTTCTTTCAAGGTGAAAACCTCCACTTCCAACTTCAACAAATGCTCGGTTTCAAGAAAAAAAAAGTGGTTTTTCTACTTTACTTTCAAGGTGAAAAACTCCACTTCCAACTTCAACCAATGACCAATTTCAAGAAAAAAATAATGTGTTTTTTCTGCTTTACTTTCAAGGTGAAAAACTCCACTTCCAACTTCAACAAGTGCTCGGTTTCAGGAAAAAAAAGTGTTTTCTCTGCTTTATTTTCAAGGAGAAAAAAAACCTGAGCTCCAAATGGAACAGTTTCCAGTAAAACCCCAATTTTTTCCCCTGTGGTTTATTTGCGCATTTTTTCCCGTGGTTTATTTGCAGGGCGTGCGCAGCCTGAAGCGCACCCACTTCCGGCCCCGGTGCATCCTGGTGGTGCCCAAGGACAAGGAGAAGTACGGGGAGCACCTGAGGAGGACGGGGCTCTTCACCAGGCCCGAGATGGACGAGGCCGTGGCCAGGGTGGACATGTACCTGCAGGAGTGCCAGGAGTGCCCCGGCTTCTTCGATGCCATCATTAACACCGGTCAGTTAATTGCTCATTAATAGAAATGACACCTCAGTTATTCTCACTTTTAACCCAATAACCAACCACCCATGCCCAGGCAGTGAGCAGGGTGGACATGTACCTGCAGGAGTGCCAGGAGTGCCCCGGCTTCTTCGACGCCATCATTAACATGGGTCAGTTAATTGCTCATTGCCTTTGGGGTAATTGGGAATCATCATATAATATAATACAATACAATACATATTTTTATATCAAATATTTTTATACAATATAGAATTTTAATTTTGTTTTAGTTTTTCGTTTTTCTGGTTTTTGGTTCTTATTGCCCTCATTAATGCTGATTTTGTGCTCTCTCATTAACGCTGATTTTGGGCTCTCAGTGCACTCATTACTGCTAATTTTGGGCTCTCTCATTAACGCTGATTTTGGGCTCTCATTGCCCTCGTTAACAGTGATTTGGGCTCTCATTTCAGTCTCAGAAACCCTGAGTTCTGCAGCGCTTCAATAACAAACTCAAAATGCAGCCCCAGCTCTCTCTCTGCAAGGTCTTTAAAAGTGTCCAATTCAGAAATGACACCTCAATTATTTTCACTTTTGACCAATAACCAATCACCCATGGCCAGGCAGTGGCCAGGGTGGACATGGACCTGCAGGAGTGCCAGGAGTGCCCCGGCTTCTTCGACGCCATCATTAACACGGGTCAGTTAATTGCTGATTGATTGCCTCTGGGATAATTGGGAATCATAACATAACATAACATAACATATATTTTTATATCAAGTATTTTTATACAATATAGAATTTTAATTTTGTTTTCGTTTTATGTTTAATTTTCTGGTTTTTGGTTCTCATTGCCCTCATTAATGCTGATTTTGGGCTCTCATTAACTCTGATTTTAGGCTCTCAGTGCTCTCATTAATGCTGATTTTGGGCTCCCAGTATCCTCATTAACACTGATGTTGGGCTCTCATTAACTCTGATTTTGGGCTCCCAGTGCCCTCATTGACATTGATTTTTGGCTCTCATTAATGCTGATTTTGGGCTCTCATTAACGCTGATTTTGGGCTCTCTCATTAACGCTGATTTTGGGCTCTCATTAACTCTGATTTTGGGCTCTCATTGCCCTCATTAACACTGATTTTGGGCTCTCCTTGCCCTCATTAACACTGATTTTGGGCTCTCATTTCAGTCTCACAATCCCTGAGTTCTGCAGCGCTTCAATAACAAACTCAAAATGGAGCCCCAGCTCTCTCTCTACAAGGCCTTTGAAGGATAAACTGTCCAATTAAGAAATGAAACCTCAATTATTTCTACTTTTAACCCAATAACCAACTATTCATGTCCCACAGTGGGGAACTTTTTATCCAATTACACAAAACCACCCAAACCTGTGGAAATCTCCAATTCCCACCACAGAAATCTCCAATTCCCACCACAGAAATCTCCAATTCCCTGCACAGAAATCTCCAATTCCCAGCACAGAAATCTCCAATTCCCACCACAGAAATCTCCAATTCCCTGCACAGAAATCTCCAATTCCCTGCACAGAAATTTCCAATTCCCACCACAGAAATCTCCAATTCCACCACAGAAATCTCCAATTNGGGGCTCTTCACCAGGCCCGAGATGGACGAGGCCGTGGCCAGGGTGGACATGTACCTGCAGGAGTGCCAGGATTGTCCTGGGTTCTTCGACGCCATCATTAACACCGGTCAGTTAATTGCTCATTGATTGCCTTTGGGGTCATTAGGAATCATAACATAACATAACATAGCATCACATATATTTTTATATCAAATATTTTTATACAATATAGAATTTTAATTTTGTTTTAGTTTTATGTTTAATTTTCTGGTTTTTGGTTCTCATTGCCCTCATTAATGCTGATTTTGGGCTCTCTCATTAACCTCTCATTGTCCTCATTAACTCCGATTTTGGGCTCTCAGTGCCCTCATTAACACTGATGTTGGGCTCTCATTAACTCTGATTTTAGGCTCTCAGTGCTCTCATTGACATTGATTTTTGGCTCTTATTAATGCTGATTTTGGGCTCTCTCATTAACGCTGATTTTGGGCTCTCAGTGCTCTCATTACTGCTAATTTTGGGCTCTTTCATTAATGCAGATTTTGGGTTCCCAGTATCCTCATTAACACTGATGTTGGGCACTCAGTGCACTCATTAATGTTAATTTTGGGCTCATTAACGCTGAGTTTTGGGCTCTCATTAACGCTGATTTTGGGCTCTCTCATTAACACTGACTTTGGGCTCTCATTAACACTGATTTTAGGTTCCCAGTGCCCTCATTAATGCTAATTTTGGGCTCATTAATGCTAATTTTTGGCTCTCATTGCCCTCATTAACGCTGATTTTGGGCTCTCATTTCAGTCTCACAAACCCTGAGTTCTGCAGCGCTTCAATAACAAACTCAAAATGGAGCCCTGGAGAGTCTCTCTCTCTCTGCAAGGCCTTTAAAACTGTCCAGTTAAGAAATGAAACCTCAATTATTTCTACTTTTAACCCAATAACCAACTATTCATGTCCCACAGTGGGGACCTTTTTATCCAATTACACAAAACCACCCAAACCTGTGGAAATCTCCAATTCTCAGCACAGAAATCTCCAATTCCCTGCACAGAAATCTCCAATTTCCACCACAGAAATCTCCAATTCCCACCACAGAAATCTCCAATTCTCAGCACAGAAATCTCCAATTCCCACCACAGAAATCTCCAATTCCC